TATATATATATATACACACACACAAAAATATAACCTAATGCTGTTGTTAGTCTCTGTACTGAAAGTATAAAATGAAACGTACAGACAAGAAAACTGGAAAAATATTTGTTGATTTCTTAATTTAGTTTCCGTTGGTTAGAGAGGTTTGATTTGTATTATAAACGTTGGTGAAAGAGAAAATAGCTTAATTCAGAAACAATGCAAGTTTAAAAATGAATCGATATTTTTTCTTTCATTGTAAATTATATGCACTTGGCTCTAGGCAGGGTGATCCCACGCTACTTTTTTAATTTTAGGCTTATTATACTAACACTCACTACACTTATAATGTTTCACGGCACACACCCCTCACGGTCCCCTTGCACCCACATCACTAAAATCGTAATGGACAGACGGTAATCGAAATATTCTATTTGTATTAATGCATTTTAGCTTTTATGACTCCTCCTATTTGGAGAAATCAAGCATGACGCAACACACACCAGGTTATATGAGAACTTAGAGGCCCGAGGACCTAGTAGTGTTGATTTATAATGAGTACTTTAAGAATTAAATGTTGTTAGTAAGTAATAAGAATCAGTGATTTAAGGACCTATTAGTAATAGCCATACAATGTAAACTTTTAGACGGTATTTTGATCAACTTATCGTTACTTGCGTAAAATAATCATTAAGTTACTCCCCACTAGCTGCCATTGCATATTCGATGACCATTAATTTAAAGCTTCAAACTAAGCGACCCTGGCCTGAAAAGCATAAGCAAGTTTTCCCACACTCCCCCTTCGTCCTTTTCCAAGAAAAACACAGTAATGTGATATGTTGTTTGCAACAAACGTGGACACTTAAGCCTGATACTGTACATTGGTTTTCTGTGTGCATGGCTAGTGTGTTCGACAAAAACCAACTACGTCACATGTATCCCACCTAGTCTTCGAACTATAGTTGTACCGACATGAAAAATCACTCAACAGATAGCTTGCATGGAATACTGTCTTCTCCTAGACCGTAATATAACTGCTTTTCCTGTCTATAATATGGATGAAACGTGATCAATTCATAACGACTGTTGTCATTAGAAGCTAAAGATCTTCTATTAGAGTTTTGTCACATATTAACTCTGTAAAATCTCCCAAAAGAATTAAGAAAATCGATATGTCTTAACAACAGAAAACAGAAAAAAAAGGTCCTCTTCTTGTTTGTGAAAAATAATGAAAACAATACAGTTTTGTGTCCTTACATTTATAATGTTTCTTTTGCTTTAATAGTGAGAACTGACCTTCCATCACGAATAATGTTATAACCAACAAATCAGATTGCATGGATTACTTTGTTTCTAGATAATTTAAATGATGTAATCTGTAACACTATTCAAGAATAGAATCTGCTACCATTATGAACTGTATAAAAAGACCAACGTTATTTCGTTAATACAGTGTACTTACTTCATTAAGATCAGTCCTGGAGTTCAAGTTCATCTTGCCTGTTTGTTCTGGTTTTATTATACGGAAAACAAATGAGATGAATGGCAATAAAGGATCGTTGTTATTTTGATCAAACAGCTTAACCTGGTTTCTTCAATATCAAGAAAACAACCATAATATATGTACGTGCTGGGATATAAAGGCCTAAGTAATAACTGGAGTAAATAGTGATAAAGAATCGTTGTTATTTTGATCAAACAGCTTAACCTGGTTTCCTCAATATCAAGAAAACAACCATAATATATGTACGTGCTGGGATATAAAGGCCTAAGTAATAACTGGAATAAATAGTGATAAATAATCGTTGTTATTTTGATCAAACAGCTTAACCTGGTTTCCTCGTTATCGAGAAAACAACCATAACACCTCTACGTGCTGGTTTATATAGGCCTAAGTAATAACAGGAGTAAATAGTGATAAAGAATCGTTGTTATTTGGATCAAATAGCTTAACCTGGTTTTCTAAATATCAATAAAACATCTATAATATTTTGTGTGCGCTGTACTTTATAAGCCAAAGTAATAAGTGAGGTAAATAGCTATAAAGGATCGTAGTCATTTTGATAAAGTAGTTTAGCCTAGTTTCATAGATATCATGAAAACAACCATAATATTTGTATGCGCTGGTTTTTATTATAGGCTTCAGTAATAACTGAGATAAAGGGGAAGAAAAGATAATTGTTATTTACATCAAGCAGTTTAGCCTAGTTTCCTGGACATCATGAAGACAACCCAGTGCCGTACTGATCTTTGTTATCGTCCTGTGCTAACGCACCGCTCGCACTACCCATGGTACGGCCCTGAAACAACCATATATTTGTAGTTGTTGACCTTGCGAAGTATGTGTATTTTACGAAGTTACTAGCTATATGGTGCTTATGCAGTATTGAATGCTGTATGTTAATAAGTAATTGTACCAAAAGTAATCACTGGGATTGGCAAAACTATTGAGGGTACATCTTGAATATCATGCTGATAACACAGGCCTGGAAATTTAAAATTCATAAAAGTTGTTTTGATTTTAATAACGAATTTTTCATAATTCAACTACACAGACTCCGAAAATAATATTTTTTTTCTATCACGTAAAGATTTTTTACAAATCGGGGGAAGAAAACTCTTACTTAGATCAAATTATTATTTCGTTTATAAAAACGAATATTTATTATGTCTGTTAATAAAAATAAAAACAAACTGAAGAAAAGTGAAAAACACTGAAGTAAAACGAATATGCATCCTCGTTCATCCTGTTATTTTTTTTTTTTTTTTGAAATCTACGTGTTGTGGTCTTTCTTTTATGTATTGCGTTATGATGTTTTGTGAAAAATCTGTACACGATGAATAAAAATGGATATCATTTTCGGATTCTGCGTACGAGAATTACTGTAGAACATGTAAAACGTTCAAGACAATAAAACCATCGCAGGCCTGTGTAAGCGATCCTTCCAAACAACCCATGATTATTGCTCAAAGACAAAAAATAATAAGTATTTAACCAAGAGAGGGGAAAAATGGGTTTTGTGGACGTGTATTACAAAAGAAAAAACAATATTTGATCAAGAAAGGAGTACATTGCTGGTGATTACTGTACTTACAAAGGAAAACATGTGTATTACTTTCTCTGCAAGTCATTTGGTAGTGTAAGAACACTCTTCAATGACAGCGGAAAAAGATAAACGTTTCGTTGACACAAATCTCACAGGGATGTCGTTCCTTATTCTCAAAAAACGTAGAGGACCACGTGACAAAGCTTTGACACAAAAAATATTCACTGGCGCAATGTCATTTTTCAACGTCTGGCAGTGAACAGTTTATCTCTTTCAATTGAGACGAAACTATGTATCAATCTGGAAACAGAAACTTACTGGGAAATCCAGATTTCTGAACAAAAGAACATATTCAACGAGTTGTAACAAATGACGCGAGAGTTACCTGGTGAAATATATTTAAGATGAATTGCTTCAGCATCTGCGCGGGAGAAAAACTGAAGCCACGAATTCTCAAACATGTGAAAGATTCCAAATGACCTTCGGTGCTTCTGGACTATACAGCCAGCGTTAGCCAAACAGAGCAACCATCTTTCATGATTCGACACGTTGAGACATCTGAATGTAAAATTAAGGTTGTGAAGCAGTTTTTGTTTTGTAGAAACTGCAGAAATATTGGGTTAATTTCATCACTAATGCAAAATATAGGATCTTACGGTCTACCACATAAAATTATATTTGTCGATATATTATAATATATGTGAAAAAATGAAAGGAATGCACCCAAATACTAAATAATATCCGTTAGATATAAATTATTTTTGTTATTTCGCGCTTTGTGAATGCCATGGTTTAAATCTCGTTGTTAGCGAAGTAACAAAGTGTTCTGTAAAAACGGTGTCTTGTTTGGCATTTTACAGATCAATTATCTTTTATTTGATGTATCCATGAATAGATGGTACATATTTAAAGAACAAGCACCACAGTTAAGCTGTTTTCTACATTAGACTAGAAGCCAAAATCGTCTCTGTCGGTGTACTGACATATCAGATTGATGATAACGGTAAACGATAAGACAATGGAAGATAATGTTCGCAGTGTGAGACAGAGTTTAGTCACTCATATCGACAACTTGAAGCTGCTGGTAAGTTTTTATTTTATGGTTCAATATTTTATTTTACATAAACACAGCAGCAAAAGGGCGTAATCGCGAATCTCAACCATTACCTAGACTGGGCCAGAGAGTTCGTATCGGCGCAGAAACATCTCAATGACTTTCATTAAAAGGTATTTGACGATTGTAAAAATAAGTGCACGTGAATTTGCAAACGAACTGAAACTGTCACCCGAATTCAAGGCCAACAAGGATAAAGTTCTATGCAGTAGGAATTGCTTTGATAAAGAACAGCATAAGACTACACAGGACGCAGAGGAATGTTTTCACACAAGTTTTTCTTCTTTCAAATACCTAATGTAATACTGATGTACTGAGTTTTTTGAAAATCAACAGTACGTAACAACTTACATAAAAAGTTGTCTTTTGTACGTGAACATGTTTTAATGTTTCAGAACACGCAGTTCAAGATCTAATTTTTAACAATTAGCATAACTCTTAAATAACCCCGATTTGCTTATCGTCTATATATTATCATATAATTTATGATAAAAATAAAATACAATAATAGAAACAAAACTACAATGATTAATTATTGCTGTTTCAGGGTACTAAAAGTAAAATAACAAAATCAGGCAGATGACTCTTATAAATTACCATCACTACTACAACTATTGTTAGAAAGATCCAATAAGTTTTCTACAACACATATCGTCAAAAAGAGCCATTAAACTATAACTAATAAAAATTTTGCCAGAAAGAACCGTTAAGTTTTACAACAAAACAATACTGTCAGAAATAAACAATAAGTTTTACCACTATGAATATTGTCAGAAAGAACCAATAACTTTTAAAAATATAAATACTGTCAGCAGGAGCCAATGTCTTAACAATAGAACCTAGAATTTTTGAGAAATATCGTTTTACGTGTATTCCTGCGAAATAATCTTCAACAGAAAACAGTGATCAGTTTTGACTTTTAACACGTGTATTTTCTTGATATACAACGAAGCCTACAATTGACGCATGCCCGTCATAGCAACTAGCTAGAGATGAAGTATGTGTAGCCGTTGACGCATCATTTGTCATTGACCGAGACCTGTATTTACGACAGTATGCAATTGAAATCAATGATTTGAAGATATTTTGTTACAGTAACCTACCTGGTTCCGCGTTCTGCGGGTAGGCAGGAAGAGTATGTCCATTGACTGGAACGCTAGGGGAGCCACCTGTCACGTGCAACCGATTCCGCAACGTTACCAACTCCGAACTGAGACTGCGCAGTCGCTGCTGAAGATGAACCGCTTCGTTTGATGAAGAAGATTCTGTAAATTTGTAAAAAGTTCCCTCTTTTATATTTTATTGGTGAAATGAACATTTCGTGCTCTTAAATTAATTAATAATCAATCATGAAATTGAACAAAATATTATAAAAATGAAGTGAATAAAAAAAGAATAAGATATAGATGAGAGGAGAAGATAATTGAATTATACAACTATGCTTATTTAATTAAGAGGATAAGCATAAGCATGGAGAACAAAAAATTGACAAAATCTAAAAATAATGGTACTTCCAGACCGAATTAATGTTCTTGCTGTTCAAATGATCTTGAAACTTTAGATAAATAAGGCACGAAGGTGCAAACATCTTTTTTTTTCAAGTATAAACTGTTAATAAACCAGAAAACATTATATAAGTCGTGTCAAACAGTCCTAACTATCCCGTTTGGTTTTTAAGTGCAATGGGCTATTTGCGTTGTGCTAATCATAAGGATTTGACTCCGAAGTTCGTCGTTATAAGCCTTCAAGCTTAACACTGAGCCATAGTGGCCATAGTGATACTGACCACATGAAAACTGTATTGCCATTGATTACATGTAGCCCTATATATTATCTCGTTAGACCACTCCTGATGAGAAAGAGAATCAGCTTAGAAATTAGCCAAACCAGGATTATGATTTGAAAGGTTGCTTACAATCTGAAATGTAAAGTAAAAATTTCTATATTGGTATAATACTTTCTAGTTTTCAAGCACTTTATGCGTGACTATTAAAGACGTTTATTTGCAATTGTACATAATAATGTTACAAACGGTTTGAGTTTTTCTAGGAAAGCGTCTACCTTAGGATTTGAAACTGACTTGCAGGTTCCAGTAATGAGGCCTTCTTCTGGACCAGAGAAAGGCCTCAATATCAAGACTGAAACGTTGTCCATTCTAAAAACCTAAGGCACAATCCCTCCATAGGAGATTTCAATCCTACATTATCTGCGCTGTCTGGAATTTCAATAAAATACTGTTTAAATTTACATACTTTGCAAACATTGAATAATTTATGCTTTTGTTTATTAAAAACCGTTTTAGTACATATCTATACTATTATTCTGCTTGTTTGTATGTACGACCGTTACGCTTTCTGACCGAGAACCTGCATGCGTAGTTAGAATGTTTCCCCAAGAAAAACCGCGCATGCGCATTATTCATTCGACGACAAACAGTCTGCCTGCGGCAGAGAGCTGCTAAGCTCAGTGAGCAAGTCGCTACAATTGCTGTATGAAACAAGAAGTAACAACAAAAAGGTAAAGTAAATATACTTTACTAACCATTTTGCCCAAGAGAATATTAAAAACTTATCAAAATTTTTAAAAAGGGTTTGACGTTAGGTCGTAAAATAACATTATAAGTTTATTTATCGATAGTATTAAGTACAGTAAAGTTATTCCTAACT